GTGTCATTTTCATGTATTTCCGGTTCCGGTTGAGCGATTCAGTCCAAGCATTGTACAATCTTTAGGTGTAGTCTGTATATGCCTTGTTTCAAATGTGAACCAAATTGCTTAAGGATGAAAGGAATTAAAGCCAAAACCCTATGCGTAATAATAATTTGAGACAGGCTTTACCAGCTATATCAGTTCTTGATTCGCTATAGCAGCTACTTGGGCGTCATCTCGCTTCGGTTGTGCGAACCTTTGTCTGAGCCACTGCCAGATCGGAGGCCCGCTGTCCCGATGAAGTGTTGCACATAGAACGTTGTCGTAGCATCTCTTAAACCATCTTATGCTGACGTTGTTTTGAGTGCTTCCAAAGGGACATTTTAACGTTATGCCAACGTTCATTCTATGCTACGGAAGAACACTCGAACATTGAAACACTCAACACATTTCCAACGTTGCTCTAACATACCTGTTTTGCTGGCATGTTTCATGCTAAGTCAAGTCTGGCAGTTGGCATCTGCGCGATGAGCAGTAAACATCTCGTGAGCAAGAACTGTAGCTCCTTATAATCAATTTTTGGAAGAAAGGAAGTCCAGAAGCATCACGTCTAGGCTCCACGAGAAAAATTCAGGAGGACCTTCATAGAAGATATAATAATATCTTCGTTGATCCTCAAGTTTGAATTGAGTCATCGCCTAAGGACCATCGATCCGCAGATACTCAAGCGGGTGCCAACTCACTGGGGAGGCTTCATATGGACAGCAGTAATGTACACAAGGTAAGGGGAAAATCTCTCTCTGGACCTGCATTAAAATTTTGCTGTAATTTGATTTACGCAGTTCCCCCATCGTCTACCACTTTTTTTCCAACTCGTATGCTACGGTACACTGGCACACCGTTAGCGAAGCTCGGGTGCACTGCAAGATTTGAGCTTTACGACAGAGAAGAATATGAAAAGAAACCTTGTAAAATTTATCTTCATAGTCTAAGCCAAGGGTCTCGGACACCGTTAAGTCCGCATTGCAAAATTTCCGCTCAGTTCTCCCTTAGTAGAACCTTCACTCAACACCCCGGGGAATTTTTAAGAGTTTGAAGTGTGCCGCCGATCAAAAAAGATACGGAATCTTTGATCTAGCACATCTGAAGGGAGAACCAACTGTTTATTGCGTCTTTCTGGGTAAATAGCCTGGGTTACTCCACGATAAGATACGACAAATTGGCGGGATCAAGACCCGCGGGAGTGCATGTATGAGGAGCTGTAATAAGCCCGTAGAGAGGGTGGGGGGCAAAGAGGGTAAAATCCCTCAGGCCCCATGCCCCAGGGGTACCTCACGGCTGGTATCACATCATCGGCAAACACACTATTGTTCAGTATCATAGCATTCGTTTTCAATGAAAAGTTGATTGAGTGTGTTGAAAGCAGGGAAGGACAAGTGGAAATGGAGCCATCACATAAATATTTGCCCTGGCCCCCACAATTCCTTTCTCCGGCCCTGATCAAGTCCGCCCAGAGGAGGAGGGGGGGAGGACAATCTGTCTCGGGTCGCGAGTATCAAGGGGCCTCAAGGAGGCCTGCAATGAAAGCCAATGCTAATGTCCCAAAAGAACACATCCATACAGTGACCTGTTTAGTTTTGCCACGCGCTTCTGGAAAACTCTGGGCGGGCCTGGCCCTAGTTAAGAGAGTTTGAGCATTGACGTAATGTCATGAACTCAAATGGGCGTGTGCGCGCGGTCGTATCTGAACCAGGAATCGATATTGATATAAGTTAATGCCACTACATTATTTTGCGTGCGAAATCGGATGACAAAGGCAACTCTTTCGTGATACCTCCTTTTTAAATTCACCGGGCCCTTGCCCTTTCATTGCTTCGAAACGAAAATGTGTGCAGTGATGGGGTGCAGAACGGGTTTCTTGCAGCAGACCTTGCATGAACGCCTTATGAAAGCAGTCGAGCTCATCAAAGTTACACCCTCAGAAAAGCAATTCGAATTAAAAGATAGCAGTATATTCATGGAGGAGGAAATTTTCAAGCTTGGGCGTTATTTATGAAAATTTGTTGGAAATTTTGAAGAGAAGTGGATACGGCAACACTGGGACGCTAAGTTACACCAACGCACTGCACCGCACGCGCCACTAGGCCTTCACCGAAGTACGATTGGGAGTGCTGCAATAGTCAGGGATTTCAGTGATATACGTAGGTCCTATTTCCCTGCGGCTGACACGAGGAAGGGACAATCCTCAACTGCAGTCCATCTGACAAGTGACAGGTGAGTAATAAGAGAAACCTGTTAACATTCGTCTATGGTAGACCTAGTCTTAGGTCGGCTTAACGTTTAGACTTCCTTGAGTCTAAGTTTAAGGTTACGACTGCATCTGGAGAGAGGATTCATTACTTTCAGGCATGCTGTCGCGCTGTGAAATCCACCCTCTCATATGACAGCATAGTCCGAGCTTTTATAAGAAAGAGCAGACCTTATCCTTCCCATTTGGAAAATGCCTTCTTACTTGCTCTTTAAATGTACAATTCGTCTCTGTGCCACATTAGACCCGTGACGGTACTCTTATTTTCACTTTAGGGCAGCAGACCCTAGAAATGTAGAGCATAGTGGAAAAGGCAGGAGACAAAATATATTTTGCAAAGTCAGAGGATTTTTGCACTGTAACCTGTCCAATCAATTGGTGTGGTGGGGAAGGCATTGGTGATTGTGCATATGTAATAGGAGACGAAACTGGTACAGAGGAAGGTTACAAAAAGCCTGCCTGCAGAACCAATAGATTCAACATGATGATGCTGAGGATTGTTTCCTTGATGTTTCACTAGGAGTGCATATAATTTTACACCAGGCTACATTATCTGAATGGTAGATGTGGCAAAAACTTGCACTTTTGCAGAATGTGGTCAAATTAAATTCTTCTGAATGAAAGTAATCAAACTTTTGGAATTCATAAGTTTGGTAGCTGTAGACCATTGTTGAATGTGATCAGTGATGGTATAATAGCATAAATAATGAAAAGGGATATTTTTTCCTCCTATTAGTGCTTCCAATGAAATTTTCTTAAGGTGGGAATGATTTTGAAATACCTAGTGTGATAATTGTGGGAAATGATGGAAAGATATAAAATTATCAAAAGGAATCTGGAAGGATTAAGACAAAGTGCTACAGAGAATTCAACAATTGGGATTTTTTAGTTCACGGATCAAAGACCCCAAAAATGGTTTGAAATGGATGTCAGTTTTGATGCTTAGGAATATGATACATTGAGTAAGTGTTTTGAAGAGATAGTTAAAAGAAAGTAAGAACTTTATAGATTCTCCATTTCCAATCTTTAAGAATGAGAAACTTGGCCAAGGCAAGGAGGATTTAAGAAAAAAAAGAAGGAACTTCAGCCAGACACCACTAACAAAAAGTGTCACCCCTAAAAGTATGAGTATTTCAAATAATAAACCACCAAAATAGGTGCTGGTCAAATGCTGATGGACCATGTTGATGTTAATTGCTATTCTGATGTTCAAAGTTATCATCCTGAAGTTCAGCACAGGTTAGATATTTGATAATCTCCCAATAACACTGAGAAGTGAACTTCCTAAGAGGAAGCTTTGAAGGAGATAATATGGGAAAGCTGCTGGAATACCCATCAGATTAATAAGCACTTGACAGAATAGAAGTCCTGTATCAATCCTCATGGAAGGAGTAGAAATTTTGTCATTCTTGTGGATGACATTGGTCAGCCAGGTGGTTTCAAATGATCCAGAAATTGCTATTTCACATGACATGCCCTTCCTCTTGATGGAAACATGCAGTTCACTCACTCTAGTCTGAGGTGAGAGTTCCATTTGCATATTTTTTAACAGCTTAAGAAAAGGGAAAACAACAGTAAATCATAAGAGGACATTTTTGCAATACAGAGAAATATACCCTGCCACCAGAGGAAGGGCCTCCATGAGCCAGCAAGCCAAAAAGGTGAACACTTGTGGCTCATTTAACAGGGACAGGAATAGCTGAGTGGTTCCCTTTGATCTCTTTAGCTCACCTCTAAGGCAGCATCCTTTAGTGGAGACAGCATGTACATGTGATAGACATTGGCAAATGCATGGAGACTGAAACACTGGGAGTACTTGGAGAATGTCCATGGTTCTCCAACCTTAAGGTTGTCAAAGGCTGTGTAGCATAAGCCATAGGCTCAGACTAAATCATCCATCAGTTAGGCCTACTCAGTAACTATCCCTGAAGGTTACTTAATGTTACACTTTCAGATGGGTATCAAGAAAAACAAAGAGCCATTGCGTGAGTCATCTTCAGAAGAGGAGGAGGAGGAGGAAGAGGAACAGTATGTTGTGGAGAAGATTATTGACAAGCGGATAAGGGGTGGGAAGGTGGAGTACCTGCTTAAGTGGAAAGGATATGGAGAGTAAGTGTCCTTTTTTCTCAGTCCATATATCTCCAACAGATGAGTGCAAGCATTGGCCCTCTTTTTTTTTATTCTTTTTTTTATATACTGATTTTTGAGAAAGGTTTGGCCATTCGTGCATAAGGCCATTCATGATATGTTAGGTATGTCAGTAAATTATGTTTTCTGGGAAATGGGAAATTAATAATTATTCCATTGTTGAGGGATTATGTGTATTGTAATACTAAATGCAAATTTTTGTTTTCCTTCTCATCTCTTGTGCCAAGGATAAATGCTATTCATTAATACCTGGATCACTTTTATATTTCATTTGATTGTTTTGGCATCAGAAAGATTGGAGAAGGGAATGCCAGAGATAACCAGATTAACTATGTTGCCAGGAAAGCAGGTGGTATCTAGACTTTTTTTTTGTTGCCAGAAGCTCTCCAATTTTCAGGATAGGAACTGAACATATAGGGTAGATAATAAGAAAGAAAGCTTCATTATCTTGTGTGGGAAATTCATGCCCTTGTGAAAATTTCATATATGAACTTGTGTGAAACATATATAGGGTTGGACACAAGTCACATAAAATCATATCAGAATGAAAATATATGCCTCCATACATTTTCATATATTGGCTCATACAGATGCACCATATGCTGTCCATATATGCCATGTCATAATTATGTATACTGAGATTACGTGAAACATGCCTGTGTCCTAAAAGGGTCCATAATCCATCAAATACTGTATAATCATTCATATACAAGTCGCCATACTTTACTTACTTTTCTTGCAATCAACTCATTTTTAATTGTTCATAGACCATAGTCAATTACTCCAAGAACTCATGTTTCATGGTGTTCAACATGTGCACCCTTGTTACTGAAGGTGAAAGTTTAAATATTATAGACTTTAATCTTCATAAGTATTTTCATTAATAATGCTATTTCATGACAAAACTTGGTTTACTCATGTAGGAATGTCGTCTTCATTTTGACTTACAACTCACGTGACATATAGGAACAAAAACCATATTTCTTTCTGAAATAATCCAATGAAGGAATGGTCTTAGGAAGAAATGGTTCAATGAAGTAAACTGAGTTACTTTTGGGAGATGTGTCTTTCTTTAGTTCTTTCTTTTGTGTCACATCTCACAAGTATGTGTGTTTGTGGGGAGGGGGGGCAGCTGCTTCCCCCCTGGCATCCCTGGGACAGGGCTTGGCACTCCTGCTCTGCTGCCATCTCTCTGACTCTTCAGCCAAAATACACCACTGACCTCATGCAATGTTTTACTTACAACCATAAGACTTGTCTATGGATATTCCCCACATATCAGACATGAAGCCATTAGCCCATTACACTTCTATTGTAATGCAGGTAAAATATATTATACGCCATACAATTGATAATATATGAATACATATATGGTGGCATTTGGGATATACCTGTACATGATCATACATGGCTGTATAGAATCATACATGTCATATATGGAATTTTCTTGTGGGTGGCATTGAACAAATAAACTTTTTAAAACATTCATTTCCTGAAATAATTTAGGAATAAATAACCAGGGTTATTTTTTATACACCATAATAAAAGAGGCATCAATGCATTAACTGCATTGCTCATTGTCTTATGTAAAATTCAGGCTGGTTGTAGTGGATGTCACAGCACTGTCTAAGCCAAATGTATGTTCTAAAGCTCAAAGATCCGCCACCTCTAAAATTAAATGCTAAAGAGAATGTCTTTGTGTGCAGAGGCTGAAGGCAAATTTCAGCCAAAAGGAAAGTATATTTAAATTCTCAAACAAATTTTTAAAATTAATTCATCAAAACAGCATCATGGAAAGAAAGAATCTTGTGAGATAATGGAAATCAGGAAGTTAGTATTTCAGGTCATATCTTAAATAATGGGGAACACATGATGTGGTGGATAATAATCTCCCTGCTTCATTTGGATTTCCATGCTCTGGGTGCCTTGGATAATGTTTTACGGCATTGCTTGAAGAATCTTAATGATTTCACTTTGCTTTGCCTCCATTGCTGGAGATTTTCTGATCTGCCTCCTAACCCTTCAGGTGCGTTAGGCATTCCTGTTCCTTATGCATTGTTACTATTCCTGGTTACAGCCTCATCTAATTTGTCAATGGCAAATTAGCAAAGTTTCTACTGAACCTTTTCACTGAAATGGTTGCTTTGCTCAATTCATTTGAGTTGTCTGATGCATTTGCATACCAGATGTTCCAGATAGTTTATAATTTTTCTTTTCCCCAGATACTGTTTTATCTATATTCTACTGTTTTGTGCAACAGGCAAGGGCCATTTGTATTTGCACAAGAGCTACCATGACTCTGCCTCTCTCAAAAATCAGCTACAAATGGTAATGACCAGTGCCTATATTTATGTCCATCTTTTCTACAACTACATCTGGTATCCACATCCTTAGAAGGAGATTCCTGGGACTGTGTGTTAGAGAATGTTTTGGACTGATAACATAGCATCAAACCCTGAATGAGGTCAGCAATCCTTAGTTACCCGTGGCCTGTTTATGCCCTTATCCTTCATATATGTGAGAGCAACCAGTCAAATGACATTGAGACTATTCCAGTGTGTACTCAGAGGATCTGAGGCTCCAGATAATGCCAGAGTGGGACTATTTTTATTACATAAACCAGGTGGGGAAATCCCTGTCCAGCAACAATTCTCCTTTGAATATATTATCTCAGGTGCATTTGAGCAATTATCCTTGGAGTGTACCATTATAAAAATGCAGGCAAAATATTGGGGGCTATGATTTAAAAAGGAGAGGAGGATAATGTAAGAAAAAGACTGGGATTAGTTAGTCAATCAGGTGAAGGGGAAATAACTAGGGTATCTGGATGATTATGCAGGATGGTTCAGTTATGATTTGGAATTTATTTTCTTCAAATCTTCAGAGTTATGTGGGTTTAACAAAACTTACTCTACTTTTTGAGATGTTCCCCTGCAATGCTTACACACTTCTCCTGTCAATGTGGTAGGGCCCTGATGCCAGCTGCATTGAATTGAATATTTTCATTCAGGTGTGCAGTCCCTTCATAACATGCTCTTTCAGATCCCTGTCACTCTGAAATTTCATCCCACCAAGGTGCTCTTTGAGTGGTCCAAACAAATGTGACTAAAGTCATAAGGGAAGAGGTTGGGACTGATGGTTTAGGTGGTTCCCAACCCAATTCCACCACATTTCTGAAGGTCATATTTGTAGTATGTGGACTTTCATTATCATGCTGCAGTTTTACACTTCTGGAAAGTATTCCATGCTGTCTTATACACATTGTTGGTCATATGGCATTGTGTAGCATAGCAGAGTTATGGGCATTTGTGGTGTTTCCACATTCAGGGAAATCAACATGAATAAGCTCATTGATATCCAAAAACACTGTTACCATCACTTTGCCAGCCAACAGCTGCACCTTGAATTTCTTGGGTTGAGGCGACCCAGAATGGTTCCACTGCATGCGTGATTTCTTGCATTCAAAGTTGTAATGGTGTATCTGAGTTGAGTTGCAAGTTACAATTGAGTTTAAGAACTTGTCACCCTCATTATGGAAACATTGCAGGTGTTGGATTGTGATGACCATGTGACAAGCCATCTGATTGAACTTCAATTTTTTGGGACCCACCTTGTGTTAACCTTATTGAATTTGAGCTGGGAGTGTGATTGCCTCAACACTCCCAACACTGATGTTGAGTTTGGAGCCAATATCCTGGGTGTTGATAAGGTGATTCTCAAGGATAGGCTGTTTGACACTGTTGATGTTTGTGGAATTCACAGCATTCCTCAGCTGGCAATTGGTCAAGATCAGACACTGATTCATGGCCATCTTTGAACCTTTTACATCACTCATAAATACTGGTGTGTGAGAGGCAGACATCACCAAACTGTAAGCTCAATCTTCTGAATATTTCAGTGGGTTTGATATTCTTGATGAGGAACTTTATGACACAGTACTGTTCAACAGCACTTGACACATTATTTGCCATCATTTTTGCTTTACTGAGCACCATTTGAGCAGCAATCAGGTTGGTCAACCTGAAGTTACCACAGGGTTTCCACTACCACTATGCACAATTTCATTACTCTCAATTAGGTATTATGATGTATAGAAAATAAAGTCCAGGTCATATGTTGAACCACCCTTGTATGAGGAGCCTCACTGCTTCTTTGAAGAAAGGACACTTGCTAAAATTAAACTGGGCAAGACTAGACTAGTATTGAGCTTCTACCATCATTTAAGAAAATACAATCTTATGCTAAACTGAAAACAATTCATTATTCAATCATTTCATATTTGTCTGGACACAGACTTAGAAATGCTCTAGAAGTTGTAACTTGGAGTGCTGGATGATGGGTAGAGTTATGGTAGTGCATGAATTGAATTAAACTAGTGAATATTACAGTGTTAATGTAGCCATCATGGCATCAAAATTTCCCTAGTCTCCTTTTGCCCATATTGTTTATGATGGCCATAGTAGCCTCCTTGTCAGTGTTGTTTTTCTTTTCATAGCCAAGCACCTTCCATGTAACTTCATTTCATCTCATCTTTTGAAAATATGTAAATTTATTATGATCATATTTTTCCCCTATTTTTAGTGAGGACAATACATGGGAACCTGAAGAAAACCTAGACTGCCAAGAATTGATTAGAGATTTTAATGCTGCAAGAGAGGCAGAAGCAAAGAAAGATGACAAGAAGAGGAAATCAGATAAGAACCCAGCAGCAGGTAGTTCTGCTGATGATAAGAAGAAGATGAAAATGTCCAGAGAGGTATGGTTTCTATCCACAAATTTCCTTTGCATGAAGGTACCCCATCATCCTGATTATCCTGTCCCCTTTTAGGAAATGAATAGATCATGGACTCAAAGGATGGTGGAATGCATTGCTTAGAATTTGCTGTTGCTTCTGTGTCTCCAGGACCACTGAGCACTAGGCTAGGTCTAGATTATTCATTCATTACCACAGCAAAATGCATTTGGTACTTCATCAGTATTAGCCATTTTCTGTCCACTTCCCATATACATGGCTCATATTACTGTTAGCACATTTGCTGCATCACAGTGAACCTCCACTGCCATGCTTGGCAAGGAGAAGTTGACTGGGCATTTAAATTTTCAGTAGTCTATGTGTTGATGTTGGAATTGCTCTACATGATGTTATGCACATTCATGCTATCATCTGAAAGTATAATTTATGGCAGGTAAGGAATTTTGAATTGTTCATAATTGGCAGAATATTCTGTTCTTCAAAGAGTCAGGTAGAAATGGTTACATGACATATACAGTAAACTTTATATAGACACTTGTATGTTAACATGAAAAATTGAGTTTAATATCATTTTCTTCTGTGTCAAGGAGGACAGTCGACCTAAAGGTTTTGACCGGGGCTTAGAGGCAGAGAAGATCATTGGAGCCACAGACACCAATGGGGAGTTGATGTTCCTAATGAAGTGGTATGTTGTTGGTAGTTTCTTATTCCATTTCTAAATATGAGCTACAATTATATGGCTATTTGTGAAATCTATAAAGGCAACCACCTCAAATTTCCAGCCACTTGTGGTTTGGCTTACATTGCCTTTTCACTTAGCCTTGACATGCCCTTGTTGTGGAACAGGAAGTTATTAAGGAGAAGATTTGATCCCAAACTTTATTTTATTCTTACATTTCATTGATGACATGTATCATGAAAGGAAGCACTTCTGCAAGAACAAATTTTAATTTTTAGGGTAGAAAATAAAAGTAAAGCTAATAGGGTTGAGGCTCCACCTATGGTCACTTTAGGGGAATTCTCCATTTGATGATTGAATTTTATCACAGTCCTTAGCACCTTGTGTAGTTTCAACTTTTAAAGCAACGTAAATTATTGATGAATAGCATCAACTATTCAAAGTTGAAAAAATATATATTATTTCTCCAAGAAAGTTTTTTATATTAACTTACATAAAATCATCTATGACCACCTTAAAATACATCTGATAAAGGCTATGCATCACAATTATTTCTCATACAAATGTTGAAAAATCAACAAATGTGGACGAAAGGACACAGTATAGAACCAAGGCTACTATGAATCAGATTGGCCAGCTAACATTGAGGGCAAAGGTAATTGCACTCCTAAGTTTTTGCTATAGAAGATAGGAATATTGTGGTTGCAATCGTATTTAAATTTTTTTCCCCTAAGAGGAGCTACTTCATGATGTGAATTTGATATGCCAAGAAATGAAATGAACTAAGATATGAACCAGAGTACACATTTCAAATTAATTCTTTCAGTAGCAGGGGAAAGGTGGCTAACTTGATGAAGTGGCCATTGGAGGGGGGGTGACCATAACTGGGTGCTTGACCTTAGGCCTGAACTCTCACTAACATCTATCTGAAGCTGAATTTCCTTCCTAAATACAGCTGCAGTAAGATTTGATAGAAAATTTCATCCTCCCCCAAAGAATCTGTATTTAATCCTTACAAGAATATTGAGTTTCTCCTGGGTAGAGGCACTTTAAAAGCAAGTAACAGATAAGACAGTTAAAGGCAGGCAAGGAAAGGATGCAAACTTGAACTGTTTGTTGGTGGTTAACAGTTGATATTGATCCATTAACACATTTGCAGTTTTTTTTTCTGCATGCAGAGCCTTCCTGATTTAATGTGGACAACCACCAGAAATGACAAAATCCTGTGTCCTACATTTGATTCAACAGGAAAGATGCTGACGAAGCTGACCTTGTACCAGCCAGAATTGCCAATGTTAGATGCCCACAAGTGGTGATAAAATTCTACGAAGAGAGACTCACCTGGCACCAAAATTGATTTTTAAAATGCCATCCCATGATCCTCATCTCTTATTTGTGGGGAGTCTCATCTCATTCTCATGAGCAGGCTTGTGGAACCTGATTTCTGTACTTTCCCTTTGATGTGAGACAGAAACTACACCACGCAGCTCCATTTCTTCCTGATTTAATTTTTTCTCACATTCATGTGTATATAACTTGTGTCTCTGAAGAAAACCTTCCAAATGAAAGAGGTCTTGTGTAGGGCTGTCTAGTTGGGGGAAACTTGTTGGGTGGGTCCATGAATAAAAGTCTCCCAGAAAATTCTCTTCATTTCATTGGAAAACAAATAACTTGTATGCAGGGATCTCTGCTACCCTGGAAAAAGCAGGGAAGGTCGCTCTGCTTCCTGGAAAGTTTAAATGTGTCTTTGGATTGGTAAGTGGATATTATTTTAAATTAAATATAAAAACTCAGTGACTAGGTAGTGTTGAAATGAAGTCTTCAGCATAAATCTACTCAGGAGTTGAATCTGCAATACTGGTGTGTTTCCAAAATGATGTTTCTCTCATATTCTTGCTTTTCTTTTGTTTTACATGATTTTAAGTGTTCTACTTGTAACCAGGACTTGGAGTGAAAGCTTCAAGTGCTCAATTGCAGTGGTGGCAGCAGCTGGGATTAGGTCACTGATCACATGAAAAGGCATTATCAAGGATTAAATTCATAGTGATCTCTGGAAAGGAGCTCAGAAGAGATTAGATGCTGATGTTGGCAAAATAAAGTAAAAGAGTGCAAAAGGAGATGAAGAGGAAGAAAAAAAAGTTACTTTCAGAAAAGGATTGTCTCTTGAGAAAGGAAGAGAAAGCCAAAAAATGGAGAGAATGATTACAGTGATAGTTGAAACTAATACTGTCTTTACCTATGCATAAAAATAGCCTTTTTCCAGGGAGTATACTAGAAATTAGATTGGAGGTAAGATTACTGATGTTGTTGAGACTGATTGATTGATAAAAGAAAAAATACTGAACAAAAACGAAAGGAGGCTTTGCATTCTATACCCTTTTAATGAACTACCCTGAACACCTCCTGTGAATTGTACTAAAATTCATGTTAATCATTGGATAGCCAATAATTGGACCAGTCAGTGGAATGTGACAACTTGCAACATGTTCTGAGCAGTGGTGAAGATGCCTTGCACAGACTGGGTACTGTTTCCTTTGGGTGAAGTAAGTGGTATACCTACTTAATTCATGATCCCTGACATGATGGTAATGGGAGAGAAAATAGCCAATAATGCTGACAAGAAATAAAATCACCTTCAAGATCTTTGAGCAATAGCCAATGGGGAAGCAAGGTATCTTGTTCCCCCTAAGTGAAGAAAAATGATATGTATGAATTGCACTGCCCTTTCACCTCATAAATGATGAGGTTCCTGCAAAAAAAAAAATTTGAGGCTAGAGCCATCTTTTCCAGTTTTTGCCAGATTCCTGGGAGAAAATTTTTAAATGATTTTATTTTTGGGATAGAACATAGTTTATGTAGATAAATCCCAACATACCACCCACATTCAAACCTAACAAAACTATTGTTCAGATTGCTTTGGAGGTCCACCAGGATGACATTCAGGGTGTTTCTCAGTGTACAGACTTCGCACCTCTCCGTGCTCAGCTAACATGTTCACCATGACCTTGGGAAAAGGACCAGAATGTGCTGAGTCAATATTATGGCCCCTCTGTGAAATGAGTAAGGAAAATAAATATCACCTGGCACTGCATATTTCTTTCCAATGAATCTAATTAGAAAGGACCTAGCAGAGGACACAAAAAAAGAAAGAAAATAAATACCCTGAAAAACTAGCTGATTAAGAACTGTCAAGTGCTGATAGTTCTTATATTCATGGGAATCCAGTGACTTAAATATTTGATACAGTTACAGGAATTCCTTCCATTATTAAATCCCAGACAGCAGATATCATTAATCTGCTGCCTGAAAATTAGGTATTACATTGATATCTGTGGGAATATCCTGGAAATTCCCCTATTTTAAAGGTGAGGATTTTATGCACAAGAAAAAGTGAATTCTGAGAGAATTTCTTAGAAATTACTGATTTTTCAAATTTGAGAAAAACTACCTTTATTCATAGATGCTGAGAAAAAAAGCAGAACTTTTCATTTTTGGAAATTCAGGCTTTTTGTTTAGTGACACCCAAGAGAAGGAAGAGAAAGGTTCCTTGTGTTAGTCATTAGAACTCAATTCCATATCCCTTTTGTCAATGAAAGTCACTCTCTGTAGCTGAACATGAACATCCAGCTAGCTACATTATACATGGTAGCCAAAAAAATGTCACCAATGTACTGGGATAATATTGATATGGTAGTTACAATCAAACCCAATTATAATGATGAAAAGTGCCTGGTCCTGGTGTTGAGCCCCTGAAGGCACATGAAATTTTACCTTTCCATTCAAGGTCCCACCAACAAAAACAATAACATTGATATCCCTAAAGTGTCGTGGGTGAGGGAGTGATAATCCCCAGTAACTGGAAAGATCATCTTATTTCCAGTCACCATTTGTATTTCTTGTTGACAACATGCCCAGTGGAAAGTGAAAGAGGCAAGCCTTCACAATTGAAAAGAAAAGTGTGCATGATTAAACTAAATAGAAAGTGGGTGAAGTAAAGCTAACGGCGCTCATGAACATGGACATATGTTTCCACAATTTGGGACAATTGTGACAGCTTCATCTGTGCTAACAAGACCATTACAAAACAAGAAACTTCACAGGTCTGTCGCGATGATGTCAACAAGACCTTGCTAAAGTATTTCAAGGTACGAAGAAGTGCAAACATCATGATTAGTAGGGCAATGATTAAACTGAAGTGGCATGACTGATGTACACTGTAGTTGTAGCATTATATAGCATCCACTTTGAAAACAAGGAAAAGGAATGTCAATAAAGGCAACCTCAGTTATAATGAAGATTTTTCCCAGGTCTCTTCAGTGAGGTTATAAATGAGTTATAAATTCAATTGCAATGTCATTGCATTTATGGTTATGCTCCTGTACATTTAATGAATGTAATTTCATTCTGCATATGGTCTCAGTATATAGTGCTTGATGGCTTTTAAAGTTTACCATGGATATCCAATTATCTACATTTACTCAACTCAACATGTAATGCTTCCTATGTGAGAAAAATGGCTTCTCATATGTCATACCCAGCATTGATAACTATAACATGCAGTTCATCCACAAGCCAAAGTGACTTGGATTGGATTACCTTCTCTAAATTTCGGTATCTCTCCCACTTCTTGAGATGGACTTGCCAAGAGGGAAGCTTCACATAAAAGGGGACCCTCTTCTTTGGTTTCCATTCTACATTCCCATCAGATGCATACTGCAAAATAATACAAAATTAGGACCTTATGATGGAAACATGGAATGCATGTAATATTTTCCTAAACTCTGACTAGCAAGTTTAACAGAAAAAAAAAATTCTACTTGGATGAGATTTCACAAGGGAAAGTGATGACTCACCAGATCAAAGTCGGGGACTTCACTTGGCTGGGCATCCTTTACATGTCCATCAGAAGGTGCAGCTATCAGATGAGGAAAATTCTTTGTCTCTGGTCGAAATTCCACAACAAGTAGGCCAGTGTCATCTGCCATCTTCTGGTGTGTTTTCTATTGACAAGTAGATGCTAGAATTTAGGTTGATTTATAGTGTATGAATTGGCATTTTAAGTCACCATTGCAACACACTGGAGGTAATCGAAATAATAATAAATAATAATAATAATTTATTTCCTACTCACCAGAAGGAAAAAAAGAAACCAAATTTGGTTGCAGATTTTCTAAGGCTAAAATTTCAGAAAATATCTTGAAAGAAAAAGCCTTCATAAAAGGTCTGCATAAAATGGAAGTACAAGTACCAGGGTAGAGAGATTCTGATATATTGACCTTCAGTGCTCATATATAAGGTGAAGCCAAATTGCTCAGAGACTTCTTCCACAGTTCAGTTCTCATAAGTGTTATCACTCTCATGCTTGGTCTCCTTTAGAGGGTGTCTCATCAGATATTTTACCCTTGTACACAGATTTCTGAAACATTTCTGAAACTGTTGGAAGCATTAATGGAACTCTTCAAGCACAACAGTGTGCACAACAGCATTCCTACCCTATTTAATGTCCTGCAAATTGTCATGTTTGCCTTTCATGGGAGAATTCAACTTTGGGAAGAGGAAGAAGTCTAGGAGACACAGGAAACAGTCAAGCACAATGCTAGATCAACTCACAAGGAACTCTCTCATGGAAAACATGCCATAGGCAGGCCCATTGTTGAGTAGCATTTGCCAATTCCCCAACCTATGCACTGCAGGCACTATCAAGGAGGTGCTGTAGTACAGTGAGATAGAAATGCTGGTTGCCCCTGTGACCTTGAAGTACAATTTCCTTGCACAAAGTTCCAACATTCTTGAAGGAAATTACTTTGATTATGATCACTGCATATGAGCCTTCTTCCTTGCAAGAGGATCCATCATGGTGCTCAACTATCCCCCGTATTTCCCTGATATGTCACCCTTAGGCTTCCCCCTCTCCCATGAAAGGCAAACAATGATTTGAAGGAAGTTCAATAGGAAGTGAATGCTGTTCACCCCACCTCCATAGGTGCTTCTCACAGTTGCAGAAATGTGGGCACAGGTGCATTGCATCTGAAGAGGTATACTTTAAACCAAGAGTTTGAGAAGAGGCAAGGAAAGAAGTTCTTTCAACATACTTGTTGGAGAAGACCCAGAAAGAAGGCCTTGATGAGGTGTTGCACATTTTTCCGAGCAGCCCATGAACGCTTGGCATGGAGATTCTTTATCCCAATCACTTGGCAGGTTGTCTTAATTGCTCGATGGCAAACCAATCCAGTACCCTCTGGTCTTTTGTGAACAAACAGATGACTTCTCCCAAAGCGGGTATAAAAATCATGATACACTGAAAATAGACGAGAAAATTGACTAATAGGTAATGTAAAAATGGGTGAGAAGTACATACATCCATTTACAGACTGGAAAAACTATGGCAGCTGCCCAAGGCTGCTTTTAGAATTAAAAGAAATTCACCTGTATGACCTTCAAACAGATCAAGGAACATGAGCTTCTGACCAGCTCGATTCTTTGCTTTCCTGACTGCTGCCATTAGGTTTGGAGCCTTGCCCACTGCAAAACCTGCCAGTCCCTTCTGATTGCCAGTCACAACAAAGACACTGAAACGTGCCCTCCGGCCCATATTCCCTGTCATATTCACCACTGTTTTGCACTATGCAAAGAAATGAGAGAGAGAAAAAACAGGTTAAAAAGCAATAATTCTCTGATAGGCTGAGTTTTTGCAAACAAAACATTAGTGTCTCAAAAGAACTTAACTTTAGCCTACAGATTCCCATATATTTGTGCTCAGAGGCTAAGATTTCAAGTTAAGTACAATTTCATATAAACTAACAGGACTAACAACAGTAGATGTGCACCATTGGCTAGGTGATAATGTTGCTTTTCAGAGTCACTTTGATATCCATAGTGAAAATTGATAGCAATGTTCAATTGTCATACCTTTGTAAAAAAAAAAAAAATAAATAAATAAATTAGTATCCCACATGGGATAAAGTAGAGGGGGGAAAGTGACAACTCCTAACACCCATATATGTGTAATGGCAAACATTAACAAACTTTGTACTGCTTTACACTAATATTCCATTCACTGGAATACATTTCTCTATGAATCCCAGAGATATGACTTGGGTCCTTTGTTGGTTTTCTTCTCAAAGTGAGCTTTATAATGGACAGCTCAGAGGCCATCAAGTAAGAAAACCTTCACCCCTTTTATTAAGTCCCAAGGTCAGTGCTATTACCTTTTGCATTACCTACAGTACAATCCTCTTTCCCCAATAGTTCCAGATCTCTGCTCTTCAAACAACTACCACTTGATGAGTCCCAGTAGGACATGGGATGATGTGTAACAACCGATATACAGGAGTACAGAAGAGTTCCATGCACATTATGATAATGTTTTTTGTCATTTCATATACATTTCCTCCATTGAATTTGGATCTTTCCTTTCAACCTCATCCAATGCCCATTAAATTCCTTGACAGCTCTCTCATATTGATACAGTTGATTTACCCAGCAGAAGGCTGCCATGAATGAAAGCAAACCCATGAACATGGTGACTTGGCATTCTGCCTCTCCCTTGAAAGGCTTTCTTCAAAATCTTGCCCCTATTTCTTGCTTGTGATGTCTTTGATACTTGAATGCCAGTTATTTCCAAGAGATAAAACCTACTTAGATTTAATCCAAAATAAATTTGATCCAGGCTTGGAAATCTGTCCTGTCCTTGCTGTTCCAAACAAGAGCTGATAAGTAGTGCTGCCCTCCCTAAGTATGCAGATACCAGAAAATGCTACAACCAGCAACTCCATTAAATGCAAAAGAATAATAAAATCTTACATTGCACTTCTGTCACTACAACCATTCAAAAACAATAATTGAATCTACAACAGGCACAGAGTTTTGGCATGAAGATGGAAAGTCTCCCAAGGTTTTTGGCCCACCCTGTATTTGTCAGAGAGATTATATATACTCACCTCTATCACTTTTGTATCAAAGCCTTCAAAAGTATCTGCAAAGAGAGAATGATGCATGGATATGACACATGGTGGACAGCAAAATTTTCAATAACAATGTCAACATAATGTAAGACACTTCCATTGCCTCAGCAAGTCCTTCACTGCTGCTTTTTTTTTTAAAGGATTATCATATGTAATAAATCATGGCCAATGCCAATGCTGAAAAGGTCAATCAAGGAGCATTGAATCATGCTGTGGGAATGAAATATTACTATCATAGGAGAACTACAGGCTGTTAAGAAGCTTCGTCCAGGGTTCCAAAGCAATAATAGTAAGCTACACATGAATGTTTGGTATCAATGAAGAGCTCATTTTATTGGCCCATTCAAGTCCATATAAGTATCTGACATGACTAATGATGGCATCTCTCAAGGCAGACAATCATATGTGGTATGATCTAAGCAAGCTCTTCAACAAATCCATGGCATATTTCAGTCCATGAAGCACTGCATTCAAGTGTTTGATAAGCTTCAGTTTTGAGAATTTGTTTGTTCTATCTTCTGAAAGCATCTGTAGTGCTCAAATTGGGTGATGAACCAGGCCATTCATTACTTTTGAGAGAGTTAATTCCTGGAATCCAAAATAAATCCTAGCACGTTTTCCTGGAGGATGATGTTTTTGAAGAAAAAGAAAGCAAGTGAGACTCATGGACAAGCCAAATTATTTTCAAAACATGATCATCCAGGAAAATGTGCACTGAATTCCTTTCTTAGGAATGGCATGAATAAATGCCATTGAGATATGCTCTCTCCAAGAAAAAAAAAGTCCTTTGCTTTCATGCCAATACCAAACAGGAGCTTCTAGGTCAAAGTATAATCAACTGGTCATAGGATTGGACAGCATGAACCAGTAAAAAAGGCCACAATGGTCACCTGACTTTGATTGAAGATTGAGTATGTGGCACCAAACCTACAACCATCAACACCATGATACCATTTGCATTGAATCTTGCAATACAAAATTTAAACTATTAAAAAAAATTGTCATTCTGTGCAGTGCAGAAGTGTCATCCTGCAACCTATATACTACACTCAAACAAACTCATTAAGGTACCCTGGTGGGTCTGAATTTTGAAACGCCACCTGGCCTATGACCATCCCTGGACCAAATGAGGAAGCCATGCAAAGTTTGGTTGGACTGGGACCAGAGGGACACAAACACACTCTGAAATATAAGTAGTATAGATATAGAAACCTAATAAACTCATGCTATAATGTGCTTGAGACAGAAAGGGAGTATCAGTAGAGGATCCAATGTGATTCATTCTTTGCAAATGACTTCCATGGTGAGTCAAACTGCAAATTCATAACCAAGTAGGAGGAAATCGTCTTAATTTGACTCACAATTCCCAACAGGATCTGGAGGTCCAACACTTCGACCTGGCAGCTTTGTCCCAGACCATCCTCTTTCTAAGGGTGCCAGCTTGAGAGGTCGAAATTGTCCCATGGAACTGCGCATGGCAATTAACTTCTCTTGTCGCTCTTTGTCTTCAGGTAGCTGCTGCTGCCGAACAAGTTCCCGACCCCTTATAATTGGGGCATTCAATCCTGGCCAAATTATATTCTTCTTACCTGTTGGAAGACAGAAAACAAGAATCATTATTTTTGCATGATAGCACACATACAGTCCAATCCAGTATACTTTACAAGAGGAATGAGTACAGTCAAGACATGTGCATAATTCACTGCAGTTACTTTTGGTGATTTTGAAAAAAAAAAACTCATTTGGGGAATGGAGTCTGGGATTTGCATTCACAGCTTGAAGATTTAAAACAGAGTCACCATGTATGAACTAAGCACCACAATAAATAAATAAATCATACAGCCTGAGTAGATGGAAATATATAACTATCAGGGGAGGTAGAAAGAAGGAAATATTCAACATGAACAAAAGCCAAGAAAATGTGGACAAAGCAAGTAAATGCAAATCCACCCAAACTGAAAATTACTTCCACTTTTCCCTGAAAATGGTATCATTTTTCTTCTTTGTGAATGTAGATTGGGGCAGAGATGCACAAACAGATTAACCCTTTCATGGCTGAATTAAGAAGATAAATAACTAGAATTTTTTTTTCACTCTTGTCTTCACAACCTTGCTTTTGATCCAATATGCCTGGATAACAGCCTGTTTGAACAAATGATTTATCTGCAAATAACCATTATTGAGAGCTATCAAACAGTACAATTTAAAACCAGTATTTCAAATATAGTAATGTAAGGGCAATCCTAAGAGATATGATCATTATAATGATCATACACTATGAAAGGGATGAAACTGCACTAAAAATGACTCGACACCATGGTCATGCATTTGATATCCCTTATGACATTACCCCATGATTTCTGTCACCATGTATCCTGGTTTCACAGGCTAGGGGGAAGTACTGACAACAACAATGCCACTCAGGCTTTACATCCATCCACCACTGTACATAGGGCTGCAATGACTAATGGGGTAAGTGTTATTAAAAGGTGCACTAAGTCCTCACTTCTTATGCTAGAGAGTAGATAATGATCTTTTCTCAAGCCCTAGAGAGAGCAGATCATATAAGAAACCAACCAGATAAAACTGTCAGTCTGGGAGAAAACCGCCAACTGCTGGTCACACTTGAACATCTACATTGCACATGCTATCCTGAGACCCCATGCAAAACATAGAAAGCTATCATGATCAGCTGATAAAAGAGCACCAGTAATTTGTCAGTTTTAGGCTCATGTAGCTTACTGTAACCTGTTTCTTGCTGCTGTTCTTTTCAACAGATCAACAAGGAAGCATTGGGGAAAATGTCATTCACTTAGAGCAGTTCAGAAATTGAAACAGATTTTTCACTCAAAAGGTGACTGAAGAATAGAAGAGGTTGCCAGCTGATGTGGTTGAGGGTGCAACTGTTGGTACCAGGAGAAAAAGATAGTGGTATATGTCAAGAATGGGATCATTCAATGCTGCAAAGAGCTCCCATTTTAGATCCTTTTATTTAAAATCTCAGACAAGGAAAAAAAAGGCTGAAAGGACCCATGGTCATTACTTATAAGTCTTAGGGAACAGTTGGATATAAATTCATCAAGTTAGGACTATATCCACATGCCCATTTTTCCTAACCTCTCTTCACAAAAATGTTTGCTTGAATGAGTGGGAGATAAAATCATTTCCTAGTGGGTTAGTAAAATTTTCAGATATTAAGAACATGACATGGGCCTTGGATCTCCTGTGAACTGGAATTCTATGCTCTATACACCAAAACAGGGAGAGTTTCTCCCACTAAAAATTGATTTATAAAAATGTACAATGACCAAACAGAGGGTGGAAAAGTACATATCTTGCCTGTACTCATACCAAAGGCCAGGGCCTGTCTTAAATGAAGTTGCCAAAACTGTAGAACCACTTTCGCTCAATACTGGTTCAGTCAGTTTCTCCTATTCAGTCGCCCTTGATGCCCAATAGATGTTAAATACAGAGGAAGACAGGTTATAATCACTCACCCACTCCAATAATCTGTCCTCTGTTCAAGTCCTTTGCCAGGATTTTGGATCGTCCCTTCCCACGACCTCTCTTCTTGCCAGCATTACTCACACTGGTAACACCTTTCCATAGCTTTTCAGCACTCACTGATTCAAGGTAACAAAAGAAATATAATTAATTCAAGTTTCTATGTAGACCTTGCATTTCTGGACGGACACCTTGAGGAGAACCTTATGCTTAAAATTGAAAACAATTTCTCTTTATGCAATAACTCTTCACAAGATTTGGAGGAAGATACTCATCTCTGCCATAGATGGAAAGAAAAGTTCAACATATTACAAAATGAATGGGATAGACTTATCCAAGGATATGGCTGGGCTAATGAAATAAAACCAATAAAATATATATACATCTGACAAAATATATTTAATGTGTACAAATCTACCCTCATTCACTCTAATGAATGGGGGTTGCAAGCAATGTTAAACTAATACCAGTAACACCAAATGGAACAACCTCAAGGAACTTGCTTAAGAATATTGCTGAAGAAAAGAAAGTCAAATTGAATTATGTAGAACTGAAACTACAGAGGAGACAAATTTGTCTATCATGAGGTGCACCAGGTAGTTTTAATCAAAGCAGGTACTGTGCTTAATTATTTAAATTCCTGTTGTCCTAATATGTACTAAGAATAAGATCCCATAACTCACATTTGTTGAAGAAATTAGTCCCTCGGGTTTGGTGCTTCATCACTTGTGGAGGACTCAGCATCTTTGAATCCAAAAGGGTCCCTGGAAGAATTGGAAACTGACAATAATAAAAACGTTTTGTCTAATAACAGAAATTCTATTTTTTTTACTTTGAGCACAGAAAACCAAAAAGATTTACCAACACTGCCATCCCATGTTAAATATGACATGACAAGGCCTACATTGCCTGCAAGCTGAGGCCTACAAAAAGTTTAGAATTGGTTTCCAAGCTTCTGCAGGAAATAAATAAAATCATCACTCTATGGAAGGTTCCCAATCGAAAACATGACCGTGCAAGGTTTCCCATGGGCTTACCTATTCCTGAGGTGGTGGTGCGAGTTAGGCATGGGCCAAAGCCTGCACTGTATTGAGTTGAAATTTGACACACCTGTAAAGACGGCCTTCCACCCATCATTCCATGCAGACAGTTCCTCAACTTAGAATCCAGGACCACTGAAGGACGACAATTCGTTCTCGTTTTTGACACTGAGGAGATTGTCAGACCAAACGCACAGGTCCTGACTTCGGACAATGAAAAGCCCAAGCTTACGATCGAGCAAGACCTCAGGGCGAACATGATGGTCATAGGCTACGCCTCGCAGTCGCGGCCAATCAGTCAGATATATTTCGCATGAACTCGCCTAAGTCGAAAACCCATGGTGACAGTTCAACGGCAGTTAGTACGGGAAAATCACGTGGCTCATGGAAACCGCCATGAGTGAAGAGGACCTGACTCGATTTTTGTCCATTGGACGTAAGTTTTTCTCGCAAGCGCAAGCGGCGGTGGCTAAATGTAACAGGATTCTTGGATTCATCCGTCGTTCAGCTGCCAGTAGGAACTTGGGTGTTATTCTTCCGTTGTATGCAGCGCTTGTAAGACCCCAGTTAGAATATTGCATCCAGTTTTGGAGGCTTTCTAATAAGGGTGAATTGATGACCCTCGAGGGGGTACAGAGGAGGGCCACAAGAAAGACGAAGGAGGTTAGTGGACTTCCGTACGAGAAGCATTTAGACGTGTTGGGATTGTTCTTGAGCAAGAGAAGGTTAAGAAAGGGCGATTCATCCAGGCTTTCAAGATAATTGAAGGAATAGATCATGTAGGTTCTTCCAGTTCGATGGCGGCAATAGAACGCGAGGTCATCAGCTTAATTTGCGTGAACCGCAGGTGCGGCTCAGGTCGAGATAGGACTTCATTACTTGTAGGGTGGTGAACGCGTGTAATGCGTTAGAAGACAACGTAGTGGCTGCTCCTTCCGTGACTATTTTTAAGCAGTGGCTTTTATGGACAAAGCAAAAAAAAAGGGGGGGGGCAATGTAGACGATAGTAGGCAGTAAACGATTAGGATATGATATCCTAGTCGCTTCCCAGATAACACGTTACGTTGGGCCCACATTGGATAAAGGTGGGAAAAGTTGGCGGAACGTGAATGTTGGGGAACGATGTTGGCCCCATGCGGGCCCAACGTGGGCATATCCACACGTTGAAAAGAACTGCAGCACTCCTGGTGGAGAACTTCAAAACCTTGAAGTTCTTCGCCAGGCCAGTAGATGTAGGTATTAGGTCTCGCTTTTCGAACAGCACGCAAAAGATCCCTTCCCTCTTTCCCTGGAATCGTCCTTCGCAAGATCGCTTAGTACGTCGTCATATGTCTCGCCTAGGCTCATTATAGGAATCAATAAGCGCGGACATTTCATCATTTGTCATCCACTTATTCAAGACAGATTCATGGAGCTCAGGCCATAAACAAACTCATATTCCCGATCAGAATCCTTTTGAAAGACAAGAGAATTTCATCCGAAAAGGAGTTCTGAAATATAGAGAAATATAGAGTTATTTATGAAAAGTTCTGAAATATAGATATTCATCCATGAACTCAATTCGGATATTTCCCATCTTCATTGCAAAAGAAGGAAATGGACTGATTTTGCAGATACTTCATGGAACCGTACGAGGTGGTCCATCCTCTGACACGTACTGTAATCAGTACAGTCAGGGGAAGATCCATGGCTGTACTATCCTATGTCTCCTGTCTATCAGGATATGTATACATGTCCTTGGGAGGTTGTAGTACATAGATCAGGTTCCGTACTAGAGATGGGAATACCTTCACTGGATAGGGAATCAAGGTATACGGTATGAAATGATGATATAGAGCAAAAACCAGCTACTTGGATAAGTGGGTTATACGTTGTCATCCAATTTACTGCCAACGTTGGCCCAGTGGTCACTTTCACGTGGGGCCTACATGAACAACCTACGTTGGGCCAACGTATCCTGACGTTGGAGGACCACGTTGGGCCAACGTGGGCCTCACGAAGAATGTTATCTGGGTTACTGTCCTGGATATGCTAAAAAAAAAAGTGTATATATTTAGCTTACGAGGCGTAGGCCTATCCTAAAATTACGGAACGCCCGTCCTCGACACGTGGTATCCAAATGGGCGTTATCGCCTCCTGATACCACTATCCAACCTTGATACCTTGAACCTATTAGTTGTCTAAATGTCCATGCATCTGCAGCAGTGGCGTATTTTGGTTGAAGGGTCGGGGGGGGGGGGGGGGGGGGGGGCCCCCCGNGGGGGGGGGGGGGGGGGGGGGGGGGGGGGGGGGGGGGCATGACAACAGAGCGGGGCCGCCAAACCCCACCCGAGTGATATCAGGTGAGAAAATTATTTCCTCCAAGGGGGCGCAAGGCTCTGTCTTATGGGCGCCAGGGGGGGGGGGGCTGCCCCCCTGTAAAATACGCCACTGATCTGCAGTATCATCTCAGGATTGTTAGTGCTACGATTGTTTGTTGAAATTGTTGTAGTTGTTCACTTAGAATCGTAGTATAGTCAGAATGCAGTCGGAATACCTACATCAATGGGCCGTATGAATAAAACCTGAGCCCTAGCTCAGAGCTTGAGCTGAGTCTGAACTTTTCCTACGTTTTAAATGAATAAAGTTTCGCTCAAGCTCCAATAATTCTGATATTTCCTCGCTCTCGTCCCTCTCTTTCGCGCTCTCCCTTCTCATAGAGAAATCAGGGAAAGCTGAGTTGCCCGAAATCGCATTAGGAATAAATTATCAAGTATTTAGTGTATTGGCCGCCAGCACCGTGAAAACTTGGTTCCTCTGTGTGAAGCAAGGCGTGCAGCATTTAATAGCAAGTTCTTCACCAAACGGAGAGAACAAACTATCGTGCTCTTCATTTTCCCAGTATCTGGCAGGGTAATCCACATGAAAGGACTTCAATTTTTGGAATCAAAGCTCTAAATCCCGTTTAACAAGGAGAACACACTAGCTTGATTTCAGAGGTAAGTCAGACTCTACCACGATTCAGGTCAAAAACTGTACGTCTTGGTTTCCTTCCACAAGATCAACGTTCATGCAACGAAGAAAGTTTCGCATTATCGGGAGGTTATGAAACCCGATGAAATCCTCAGGCGTGCCATTTACAACTCATGCACTCGAAGCGCCCTTTCCACACTATACTGTAAGTCCATAATTTTCTAGAAATTATTGGCAACAAGTATTCCCCAAGTGGACGAAGAAAAAAACTTCGCATACGAGAAGGATTCAGAAAATAGAACCTATTTAGAACTTACTAGACAAGGTAGGAATTGTATCCAGAGCATGGAAGGTAACCGAGGTTTACATGTTAGAAAGGAATTTCTAGGCCGTAGAATCAGAAAATTAATTTTACAAGGAACATTATTGTTGTCATCACGGATCTATAAAACGAAAACTGCACCCTGGCGTTTTCACATGTCATCATAGATCACATAACAGCGAGGAGACTTCTTAGCTGAGTCTGCCCCTTGGCAGACTCCGAATATTACGAGCTCTAGCTCAGGGGTTGAGACAAAGCTCCCTTTTATTCACACGAAATGCCATCTTTCACGAAGAAGGGAGCTAGAGCTCTCAGGCATGGAGCTGCAGCTCACGGAGCTTAAGCTCCGAGCATTTTATTCATAAAATATGGAGCTGTGGCTCCAATTTAGCTGAGGTCACTCTCCAACTCACTTTTATTAATACGGGCCAATGACTAAATTTATTACTAGCAAGAGAGAGTGGTCACTCAATACATATCTTTTCGCCGTTTGTCAATGATCAATGACTGTCAGTATGATCATCAGTTGCATCGTCTTGGTTTCCAAAGTAGTGGCTCGGATGCACGACGTTGCCGTCATGATTATTGTGATCATCATCATCTTACGCAATCGTGTTGACAGGGCAAGACGTAATGGGAGGTAATACGGGATTTTAGAAAATATCTATTTTTCCATCTACGACGAGTTTTATTAAGTATACCAAAGGTATCAACCGAGCCACAGATGAACCAACTCTCCTTTCCCTCCGCCCTCTCCCCTTCGTACTTTCCAGATGACCTATGAATGGATCCAGCAGTGTTGCAAAGATTCCATGTTGCTCCAGCATCCAATATGACACTGATGGTGAAGTGTTCCCCTTTTCTTTCTTGTACGGCTGAACTCATCTCTATGCAAAACTCACGAGGGAACGAAGGACGCATAGGAACATGGAATGGAATCCCCCCCCCTCCATCCCTTTCTGGAATCTTTCACCGTGGGAGTAGCTTGTGAGAGCATCTGCGACAACCCAAGATGAGGTCGATTCTCCCCGTCGAAGAGCCTACGTCTGACGAGATGTTGCTGCACGCCTTTGACTCTTTACCGGAAGCGACGCAACTTCGTTGTAGAGGATTTGAGGTGAGGGGGTGCCGGCTGGAGTGCCCAGGTGCTCGCTTCAAGAGACATGCAGCGCCTAGCAAAGGTGCATCTCGATTAGTAAGGAAAATTTATTCGGCGCTCGAGCCTCGTCTGGAATCGCACGGAACTTGAATCTATGTGACTTCGATCTTTCTTTCCGAATGAAACGTCTGTTTTGGTGCAATGTTTCTGGGTCGAATGTAGACCTCCAACGTGCTGTTATGGGAGTCCCTGCCATTAATGAAAAGCTGGGTTTGCGCACGGGAGGCATGGCAGCAAAACCGATGGCATGGAGGCATCAAATCTAGGATCATCAAACTGGGATTGAATGGAACTTGCTAGACTTCACCTGCCCCTCGGAGAGAAACCAGTCTCTTTCCTTTCCGAGCACCAAGGTACAGACGTATTAGTGATCTCCCAAAGTGAGGAACAGGACGGTTTGAGTCCCCTGCAATTTGACGATAGGTAGAATGCAAGTAAACTGAGGTCCGAATAAGAATCAGTTCTCGGACTGACACTGTAGGTTTTCCCCCGCCTCATGCAAGGGCACCGTTACTGGCTTACGTAGGATTTTCGGATGAAAAATTTGGTGTTAACAGCAGTTGAATGACGAGCTACTTGGCACTGCGGCGGTGAATCTACTGTATATGCAGATAGTGTATACCTCGCAAGTGATGCTTTTAGCGCGTGCTTTTATGGAGAAAGGGGGGGGGGGGGGGAACATGGGATAGTTGGAAAGACCAGCATGCAAATGGGGAAGTTGAAAGAACAAAACAGATAAATGCATGATAAGTAGGAAGAAAAAAAAATATAGAAGGTTTTAAAAAGGATTCATGAAGGATACTCAGATACTCGAGGAGCACTCAAGGCGTGTGTCGTAATGCTAAATGACCTCCTTCGGAAATGAATCTTAACCAAGGAAAGTGTCGATTGTCCAGGCGGGAGTGTTAACAGACCTGCTTCTGCGGATTGCTGCCTCCTTAATTTTTCTTGCAGATGCAGATGCTCGTCACTGTTCTTTTTTTTCTCTAACATCTGACATCCAGGAAGAGCTGATTACGAGGATGTCTCCTTGTAGCACTTTTGCTAGATTGACCCCCACGAGAGGTTCTTGGTGCACTTTTCATTTACTGATATTTATTTGCCGTAATCGTAATAAGTAGAAATTAATGCAGCTCAGGATATGTATTGTGCTGGAAGAATTTTCAATCCGAATAACGAAGTTTTTTCTTCCTTATCCAGGCAGCTTCAACTTTCAGTCTTGGAGGGGACATCTCATGGTCAGGGGCCAAACATCCCAGCATTTTTTTGTCTTTCTCCCTCCACCACAAGTCATAAAACCACGCCCAGGGAAGGACCGATACTGAAATCCATTGCACAACCAGTCCGTCGGAAGGGGGGAGGATGGAGTTAGTAGTAGCAAATTCATAACGGGGAGTGGAGGGACATTCCCTCCTTATCTCCCCCACCTCTCCTACTGGAGACCTGATGTGGATGCGCTAACCCTACCTGAAGCCAAACGGGAGGCTGTCATGATGAGCGAGTACATATCGTTGACGGAGATCAACTGCATACTTCTTCACATTTATGTTGATTTCGGTAAGAGTTCGCACACTGGCACCGAGATATTGCTCTGGTACTTCACTAGAACCACTTCTATCTCTGCCCTTGAAGAAGGGTAATAAGGACGTATTTAATGGCGCACAGACTAGTGGGGATTCTTCCCGGGAACCAAGAGTACTATCCGACTCTCCGAACTGAGTATTTGTTCCTGTATGCATCTTAAAAATCAATTCACCCTGAAACGAAGCTCTTCCCGGTTTCAGCACCTGACGTGTACCCCTCTGCCAAGTTTCAGCTCTCAATTCCTTATAAATGTTGCCCATTTCTGTATTGTCCATACCTCTAAATGGAAAAATGGAACAAGACACGGGGTCCATGGCAACTTTTGCGGAGCACAGACTCGTTGCCTGGAGATTTGCATCGGCTAAGGGAAAGATCGTTTTGCCATCAGACGCACCTTTCGGATTCTTCACTGCTAAATTCACCCATGATCATCAAAATTGCTAGCGTACGTCGCATGAAGCGGTGGACGGGCCGCAATGCCACCTCACGTCTTCACTATTGCTTCCCCCGGCGGGAGAGAGATGAGAGTCCACACCACCTCGGGGATGACAGCCGTCACTTGGTAGGTGCTCGTTCCCTTCTGATCTGGTTTTCCGTGGGATGTCCCGCCCGACGATGGAGCGTTTAAGGGTGGATTTTTGAACAGAGAACTATCCGATAATGCAGCTTTATTTCTGAGAAAATGCATTATAAATCCGGTGAATAAAGCAGCATTATCGGATAGTACTCTGTTCAAAAATCCACCCAAAGAGTTCCCCGAATGGAACCTGACTCATGGGACTGGTCCCAAACTGAAGGTCGCAGTCGAGAACTCTGCGCAACAAATATTGGGTCAATCGGGAAGTTCTGACCATTTCGAGAATTTTCCAGAAAAAAAATTTCTGGAACTTTCTCGAACCTTCCACAATAGCAGTATATAAAGGGTGTGTGGGCGTGATTACGCAGCAGTTGCTTAGTCGTTAAAAGCCTATAACCATGACTTCCAAAATCGACTTTAACAAGACCGCCCAACGTCAGTGCTTTCTTTCGATTTCCTATCTGGCATCAAAGCAGCTGAATCGAGTCGCCGCATCTGCGCCGTGTTTGGCCAAGGTGCAGTTTATGAAAGGACAGCGCGACGATGGTTCGATCGTTTCCGGTCTGGAAATTACAGCCTCGAGGATGAGCCCAGGTCAAGCCGCCCATCTCGACCAAATCGACAAGCAGTTGCAGCACACAGTGGAAGCCGATCCGAGCAAAGTACCCGCGACTTAGCGACAGCACTTGGCTGCGCCCAGTCCACGATCGTGACGCACCTGGCTGCAATCGGGAAGAAGAGCAAGTTGGGTCAGTGGGTACCCCACGATCCGACCGACCGCGACCGCGAACGCCGTGCTGAGGTGTGCACTTCGCTGCTGTCGTACGAGCGCACAAACGACTGGCTGGATTCCGTAGTCACTGGAGACGAAAAGTGGATGCCGTACGTCAACTACCGACGCAGGCGCCAGTGGGTCGATGCGGATGCCCAGCCAGAGCCGGAGCCGAAAGGTGACCTGCACCCGAAAAGTCATGTTGTGCATTAGGTGGGATGTTCAAGGCGTGACCTACTTCGAGCTGCTCCCACCCGATACCAGCATCACCACCGCCTACTACTGCGATCGGCTGCAGAAGCTCGCCGACAGACTCCACACGGTGAGGCCAGGGCACCGTCGTATTCGATTCCTGCACGACAACGCAAGGCCGCATGTCGCGAAGATCACACGGCAGAAACTGCTGGATCTAGGCTGGGAGGTTCTGCCTCACCCTCCGTATAGTCCAGATCTGGCGCCAACCGACTACCATCTCTTCCGCGCTCTGGACGACCATCTTCGCCAGAAAAGGTTCAACGATGACGCCGAGGTCGAAAACCGGTTGACTGATTTTTTCGACTCACAGCCAGTTCAGTTCTACAGGGATGGAATCAGGAGTCTGCCTGATCGTTAGCAGAAGGTGATTGACTGTGATGGCGATTACTTCGTTGAATGAACTTATTTGCTTTTTAAAAAAACTCGGTTGTATGGAATGTTCTCGAAACGGTCAGAACTTTCCGATCGACCCAATACATACATCCATGTATCTCTTGGTGTCATTTTACATTCACATCATTCATACTTAATTTGATATCAATTGACAACTTTTGTCATTGTCCTAAAAATGTGTGAAAAAGAACATTTGTTCGCAAAAGCCCCATCATTGATTTCTTCTTTTTTTCATGTTGATACTAGAAGAAGATAAACGCGTTATTGCATGGTATAAAATTGTCGTCCTCCTTTTGCCTATTGATATAGTCATTGATTTTTAAGCATACATATTTTTCCTGACAATGTTGGGAAAAACAATGGTCCACCTAATCGTGATTAATTTTTAACTGTATGAGTGCAGCATGCCAAATATTAATGTCATGTGGTGATGAGTTCGATTATGTGATGTTCACATCTCACACTGGTGTAATGATCAAATTGAGTAGCATGTGAAAAGTGATTTGTCATGGTTTCCATATGATAATGATGATTTGCATGTTCGGCCTTGTTAACATAACATAATCGAGTTCATCATCAAATGACATTAATATTTGGCCTGCTGTACTCATACAGCTAAAAAATTAATCATGATTAGGTGGGACCATTGTTTTTCCCAACATTGGAAAATGTGCATGTTTATAAATCAATAAGGCAAAGGATGAGTTGTTTTTATGTCATGCAATAACGCGTGCCTTCTAGTATCAACATGAAAAATTCGAAGAAGAAATCAACGATGGAGTTTTTGAGAGAAAATTTGTCTTTTTTCATACATTTTTGGGAAAATAACAAAAGTTGTTCATTGATATCAAATTAAGTATGAATGATATGAATGTAAAATGACACCAAGAGATACATGAATATATGTCGTTTGGGAAAATATACTTTGATTCAAAATGGGATACATATTTAACTGACCAAAAAATCACCAAATACGGACAAATTCAGCAGTTTTGCTGGTTTTGAAAAATAAAAAATGTACATTTATAAAGCAATAACCGAACTTATTATGTGCACACAGTAGGTACTTTCAAGTAAGTGATTAATTATTTTCAGAAATATATGTAAAATTAGTTTAAGATATACAGGAAATTGAAAGTGGTGGAAAACAACGATTTGGCAAGTTGCCCTTTTAAGAGTCCTCGATTTATTTATTTTTTCTCCGAAAATATTGCTGATAGAGAGGTAAATAAGTTACCAATTTCATCACTTGATTGGGATAACCACATACGATATTTAAAAAAATCGAAGACTGAGACCTGACAGGCCCTGTCTGATTTGAAATGGAATCACCCGGTATTGACTCCGGTGTTCCAATGGCAAGCTCTTCCTTTTTTGAATGAACAACATGGCTACAATGACGAAAACCTTTCTCCTACTCTAGATCAGCTGAGGTCATCCAAGCTGCCGAGCTTCAGATGGCCCTTTACAATTTAGTTGGAATTTTGTGAGGAAATTCCTCCAACTTAGCAAAAACTGTGCTGAATGCGTTGAATTTTCTTACAACGAAAGAACGTTCCACGATATCTGACTACGTGGGTCACTCGGAAAGTTTTTAGACTTTGCATTTAAAATGAAGATTAAAGTTGAAGATGAAGAAGATGCTGAAGAAAATGAAGTTAAAACCCCCTCTTTTGTTGGATGTACTTCCTTTAAATAGCATGCTCATGTTTCGCCCATTTCTGTTTAAATTTAGAGACAATGTTGCACTACGAATGGAAGCAGGTAGTGGCATCTCGCGAGAAGCGATTTTGTTCTCGGCTGAACTGATTCATCACCCTTGCGCCATAATTTTTTTGTAACTGAAAGAGAGCCTCCTCGCCTGAAGGTTGCCTAGGTGAAACGTTCAGGTTCTTTTCATGGTGAAGCCCCTTTTATGTACAATGGTGTTAAGTTTGTTAGCGTCTCTTCGTTTGGAGGAATGGTGATTTTGACGACGAGCTTCGATCTTGGCGCCCTCTGACGGCAGCGAATCAAACAAACATTGGCATCGAGCGCTCGCTGATAAGGAATTTCCATGGGGCTCTTCTTTGGCGAGGAACTTTTCCTTAACAGCGAGTGGAAAAATTAAATTTTTGATCGAGTCGTTGCTGTCAGAGGATACCCAGACAGGGGCTCGTCCTTGATCGTTTTTACCGCTCTGGGAGAAGCGGTACCATTTGAACACCGCTGCATACGAAGGAACTTTGCACGAAAAACCTTAGACTTCTCACTGAAGCAAGCATCAGCCGAGTAGGCTCTCTTCCAGTTGTGGAATGTGATGGCATGGAGGCGATGGTGAGGCAAGTCTGTCGTGGGCAAAATCGTCGCTCACGAGATTAAACTCCCTGCTTCCACTCCAAATGCTCTCATATCGGTGAGGGTGCTTCAACACACTTTCCCTTCATATCTTGGAGGAAAGTATGAAACTTTCGAAGCGACTCAGGCACACAACTAATTATTCTGCGGATTCCCTAACTTTTTCATCAGTGCCTGTGTATGCTTCGATGAAATTTGCCATCTTGAACCTGGGAGGGGAAGTGGTGTGATCACTGCAAGGCCTTCCACGACTATTTAAAGAGACGAGAACCTCAAGAAGAACCACAGAACCATGCTAAGTTTAAATCCAAACTGACGAAATCCTAAGCACGGCTGTGCGTCAAAGTAATAATCATTTTGATACTCCGTAAAACCTTCCATTAATAAAGTTGTTCCAAGTGATTTTGTTTGAATGCTGTTCCCAAACAACTCAGCCATGCAATGCTTCTGTACTTGGTACAAACTAAAGACTGCAAAGTCATCCTGATTATGAGACTGGGTTGTTTTTTCCTCGTTGCCTGCGCCATGCCAGATACGACTGAACAAGTTACGACTGATTCGATAACAAGAATAAGCAGCAAAGAAAATAAAGAGTTTTATGAATGCCAAGAGATGGAAACAAGACGATGTACGGGATGCCATGCTGCTGCTGTAAGAGCTGTTGGGGTTTTATGCCTCATTTCTGGGCATCTAGAAAGTCAAAACACAATTCTCGCACCAAATTCGATCTAACATTTGTGCACTTCCTTACGACTCGCACGGCAGAGCAGATCACTTTCGCAAGTAAGCTTTCAGGATTGGAAGAAAAATGGCGCCGTGCTTGCCGTGTGGCCATAGTCTCTCCGTGTACTAGGAAATCTGTTCTCGGACGTCATGTCGGGTGGTTCAATAAACATCACATGAACCCCATAATCGGTTTAACGATGGAGGCTAAATTACCCGTAATTCAGGCTCTTTTGGTCGAAAAAAATTGGACTCGACCCAGCGACAGTCCGCGGGTTAATTGTAGGTCTCATATGCCCAAGTCCCCATTCTCATCGTAAGAAATTATTGCTCCAGTGATATTGGGTCATTTGTTGAAGATATGAAGACTAGTATCGCCCTAATGGAAGAGGGCCGAAGAAAGGGGAAGAACATTTGAAAAGTTTATTACCACCTATTATGGTGCATGAGCATTCCATGCGAGGAAACACGGATGGCAGTAACGGAGAGGAAGGGGTTCAGGGAGCGTAGACCCTTCCGCTGAACGTCATCTGAGCTTCACTCCAAAAGGGGACTTCAAGTTTACGGAAAATATATTTAAAAGGGAAACGCAGGATGGTGTCGGTGATACCGTCGGCGACACTGATGTTCTTGCATACGCCCAGATCTAAACGTAAAAACGCATCCATTTCCCACCCCGAGGTGAGAAATGGGTGCGTCTTTCCGTTCGCACTCATAGTCGGACATCTTTTCCCGATGATCCCTTCACGATAATAATTCATGATAATGGTTAATGTCTCTCTCCATCCCTAATGAGAACGGTTCCCACGTCGTCGCGACGGCCGACCTGTCGTCGACTCGTCCTTATCGAACGAAAAGAACTCTCATATCTAAAGTCCCCGTCGGCCTTAAGAATTCCTCCGCCAGATAAGTGGAAGGCCCGAGTGCATCGACGAGGAACAGACTCACCTGAATTTTCCAAGAAGGGTGTCCGAGATGATGGCTCCGATCACAGGCGTGAAGTAGCAGAGCATGTTGAAGATGTGGTAAATGATGGTAGCATTATCGTCGTCGTAGCCCAGGACGTTCTTCAGGTACAACACGAGGATGGCTGCGTCAAAAGTTTTTTCATCGTCATATTTTCATTTTTTTTCCATGAAAATACAATTTTCTGAGCAAATAAAAGTGAGAAAAGAGAAAAGTAGTTGATCTTATTTCATGCGTTGCGCGTAGAACAGTCCATCCCATCCTCAACGGTCAACAGGCTATTTTCTTCCCATGAGAGGCGAATCGTTCGGCAAACTAATTTTGAAATACTTCCAACTCCATTTAGCTTTTTTGCGATGCAGACGTCGAGCCGCTCGATTCTACGCATTAAACTTTAGAATCTCCTTGGGACTGCCAGTAGAGTTATCTAAAAGTCGTTTCGAAAGTCGTGAAGACCTAAACGCGAGGGGAAAGAAACTCACTCCGCATCCCGTAGAAGCCGAAGCGCTCGCAGAATTCATTGCTGATGATGAAGAAGACGGCCTTGGGATAGGGGAGTTTCTGCAAAGGACATAAGGGACCGTGAAACCGACGACCGTCGTGACGCGTGATCCGTGACGCGTGACGTGCGGATACTGACCTTTTCATCGGAGTGCTCCACATCTTTGGAGTCTTTGGTCTTCTCCTCGTCCGACATTTTCCTCTATTTCTCTCCACGCTCTGCAACTCGACGGGGGATCCACGATCCACGGATGCCCACTGAAGCGTCGAGGACATTTCGAGAGAGAAGTCATCCCCGAGCGAGGAACCTGTCTCATTCGAGTGCTCTTGCTCTCGAGATAACTTTTGTCCTTACAGGATTTTTTTTTTTGCACTTACGATATACCTCTCGTCTCATATGGATGCGAGGCTCTGTCGGTTAGGTGGGACTCGATTATGTGATTCTTTAGACATATTGTTCTCTGCTTCCTTCGTAAATCTAAGGAAAAATCGGAATTTGCTGCAACGTCTTTCCGATTTCTTGAAGCCGTTCACAGATGGAGGACGTGGAATTAACTGAAGTTATCTTAAGAAAGTAGGAGAAGATGTGGAAGTAAGAGAAGACGACAGAAACACCTCGATGAGATATTACGATGTAAGCTACAAGCGTATGTAAGATGACTTACTGTTCCGGAACAACGTGCTTCGGTTCAGGTACTTCGTATCTTCCGTAGGGGATCTAAACACGCACACACATTCTGAAATACATGCAGTACATCTGGCACGTATTGGGAAGGAAGAATGAGACAAAAATCGCGGAACAGTCGGAAAGTTGGTGTTGGATTGCTTCGTTTTTCCCCACGCAATGAGCTACAAAACTTTCCATTCCCTATTCCAACTTGTGGATTCCAAGAATCCGGCAAGAAAATTGTTAATGGCATGCTCGCCCGGGTCTTAGCCTACGACACGTGACTTCTCGAGGTAGAAGAATCGCTTTAATCCCCGGAATTGAGGGAACCGTGCCGATCTGGTAGAAGTGAGGTAGGCCCGAGGCCCTGCTTCCATCGACGATCTCAACGACGATAAAGCTGAATATGACGAGCCGTCGTGGGACTGGAGTCACGCTCGCACCGGCCGAGACGTTTGCAAGTGAGGATTCGGACTGAGAATGCTGCAACCCGTGTGGGAGTCGCTCGGATCATTTCGTGCGGCAAAAAGACAAGGAACGAAATACGTCGGGGAAATTTTGATTGATTGAATCTGCTTTTCAGTCAAATATATCCTCCCAAACACGGGTTGTTTCTGTATATAGCCCGGATTCTTCGAATAACATTTTTCGTACTGCACCGTTTCGGCACGTTGAAGTCTCGTTCGAAAGAGCAGGGTTTCCCATTTTATGCGCACTTTGAACTTTATCGATTCATCTGTGAGCGCCGAGAAAGCTCTGTAGGCGCGCACACCACTCATTTCGCCAAGTGTCTTCGTGACGCAGCACACTTTGACCATCCTTTCTGTTTTGTTTCGTAGCTCGTTTGCGGCTAAATTCGTCGTGGACTTTTAGCACCGACCTGAAAATGCGTAATTCTGTGCACATCGTGCTTGCTGGTACGACGCAACTCGGAGTGCAGCCGCCGTTCTGCGTCGTTTTCGTAGACATCTCGAAAGAAGCGCGGTTATTCCCGGTCGCATAGCGATCATATGAGAAGTTCTTCGCGACAGGTACGATCTTGCAAGACAGGAGAACCGGCCGCCGAACGGATCGTGAAGAAGTTGTCGCTACAGACCCTGAAAAAACCTCACTAAAACCTCATGAGAAAGTCGTGAGGTCTCATGAGAAGGCCGTGAGGTATCAAGAGATCTCACGACTTTCTCATGAGGTTGTCCGAATATCTCATGAGGAAATCCTTATGAGGTAACCCTCATGAGGTCTCTGTTCGAAAACCTCGAGGTTTTTTCTGCAGTGCACAACCGACGAGAGATGGTGACTATATAGCCGCTCTGACGAGTATCCCCCTGATCTCACTGAAGTATCTTTCCTGTACTCTCAAAGTTGGATGTATATTTTTAATTCTACAGAGAACATAATCAAATATATTCGATTTTCTAATAACACTTGTCCGAAGAGATTGCCTAGTTCAGTGAGACTCCAGACAATTCTGGCCCACAGGATGGAATGCCATATTGAGGATGGAATGAAGGACAGTCGTATAACCGACCGTCTTTCTGCGTAAATGATTACTTCTTCTCTAGGGACTCGCGGGACCTTGTAAGCCGAGTCCCATGAAACCTTTCGTGGCTAACGAGAAAAATGGCGCCTCTATTCGGAACCCCCATGAAGTCAATCTCATGTTCCAAACCTCATCAGGTTATTCTCATGAGATCTTGGTCCGAAAACCTCATGAGGTTTTTTCAGCGGGGGAGCGCCAGGCGTTCGGGGGCGATCTGCACGTCGATCCGTCGCGCCGCCGATGCTGACGCGATCTCACCGTCGTCCGTTCTTCGAATTCTGCACGACCGCAAGTTCCACCCCTGCAAGATGCGCCCCTTCGTCGGTTGTTTAAAGAGGATAAAGCGAATCGAATGGCTTTCTGAGAAGAAGAACTCTTCGCAGAGATCACGCCAGATACGTGTGAGAACACCGTTGCTTCCTACTTACGCAGCGTAAGTGCATCAAAAACGACGTGGGGACTCCTTCAAATTTACTCCCATTAATTTTCACTCGTGTTGTCTGTGTTTTTCTTGCATTCGAGCTGATAACAATTTTCGAATTTTTTCGGAAAAAAACGGTGTTTACGCCATCTACCGTATCTGTATCCATAGTGTATGAATCGATAAAGTTCAGATAAAATGGGAAACCCTGCTCTTTCGAAGGAGTCCTCGACGAACTGAAACGGTGCAGCACAAAAAAGTTATTCCAGTTATCCCAAAAGTTATTCCAGGAATCAATCCGTGCTTTATACAGAAATACCCTGTACATAAGGAATTCCAGAAAGAAAGTGGTGCTTGATTTTTGAGACACCCTGTAGTTGCAGAATATTCCTGATTTAAATTCCTTCAATGTTGATATTTTCGTATGTATTCTCTTTCGAGAGTAAAATAGGTGATGCATCTTGGATGAAATCGAAGGTCGAACGGGGCCGAAGGCTGACAGACTATGGACTCTCGGCATGGCGACGTTCTGCGCCGTAACATGTGTTTATTTATGCTTCTTCGCTGTTAGTGGGTCTCTATCTCGAGAAGTTCGTAATGGAACGTCGATAAGAAAAAGGCTGTTGAAATGAAGGACTCGATGAGGCCTCTCGTGCTCGGGAATCCCGTTCCAGACGCGTCACCCTCTGTATCTCCTCGCTAGCCTCATGTCGTCCAACTCGGGGGTAAAATGGAAACTCTTCTCGCGCCGAGAGTGTTGACTCTCTCGAAGGCTTCATGGAATCACGCCGAATCGTCGCTCGGGCTGCGACTATCACCGGCGTAGCAAAGCGTCGCATTTCACGAGCCGATCGAAAGTAAGCGGACCTGTCGTCGATACTCGTTCACGTGGATGGTTCTCGAGACTTTGACAGGCAATCTCGATTCGAGTCTTCCTCGCCTGGCTGACTCCATTTTATCGAGGAAATTGACTGGAAGGGAAGAGATGATGCATCTCTTCCCTGCATGATTTTTTTCGTCCCTGCTGCCTCGTCGCAAGAAGGGTTTTTCTCGGAAGGGATCTTCGCTTCTTAGTGACTCTCATCCTGACTCTTCGAGACCCATCATTAACTCCGTCTGAATGGGATCACGTGAAGAGCGGCATGTAAATCCGGAGGAAGACAAATATGAACGTTTCCTACGTACGAAACTACCAAAAATTTAGCTCGTCGACCTCTGTCGAGAAAGCAAAAGCAGGGACTGACAACTTGCCGAATCGGCCTCCATCTCGTTTTCGCTTGGGCTAAAGTGAAACTCTCTGTGCTACAGACGAGTGCGATTCTCTTTTCTGGCGAAAAGGAGGAGAGCATGCCCCTTTTCTGTATTTTCAACGAGAGGTAATCCCCGGGTTCGATGGCCGAGAATTTTTGGCGCCCAGGCAAAAATATTCTATAGACTTTCTAAAGAAAAAATTCTATACGGTCGTATATAATTTGATTATTTCTCTCTAAATAATTCTATTAAATCGCAGTATTGAAATTCTATGGAGATTCTATAGAAATCCTTTCAAGAATCTTATCAAATTTCTAGAGAATTCTACAAAGACACTGTAAAGAAATTCTACAGAATTTCTATAGGGTTGTATAAATTTATTTGTGTCACTGTCTAGAAAGTGTACAGAATTTATATTGCATTTCATGAACTTCTGTAGTCAGCGTATAAAAAATCAATTGAAATCCTATCAAATGTCTTTGAAAAAAGTAGATGCAAATAGGGTTCCCAAAGGAAAAGATAAAGAATTAAAGGTAGCCTTTTTTCTACGACATCAGCTCGTAGGAAGGTCATTTATAATTTTTTAAATATAAAATGTGAAGAGCCTTTTAGAAAGCTCTTATTCGATTAATTAATGATAAACTTGTGAAAGCATCGGCTCATAGTAGTGGAGGAATATGACACAGGTCGTAGTTGCGAACTGCTGGAAATCCTCATTGGGATCATGCATCGGAGAGTCGTTCCATCATGAGTGGTGCAATTTTAAAGAGCTGTACCGACTGGGACGAGGCTGTAAAATAAAAATGAACTTTGGAATACGAGAAACTGTACGAACCAAAAAGTCTTTATCTGGCCTCCCATCTGGGAGGTCAGAGCCTCGATCCCTCCCCTGGCTCTTAGGCGATGGATGAGGGACAACACATAGTGCACGCAATACATAAGTACTGTATACGATAGCAGGGAGGTCGGCCTCGTCTGTTGCATCGCGCACGAAGGGGTGACTGCTAACAAGTACAACGTCTTGCCTAGGTTCCTTTGCTTTTTGGTATGTCTTTCGGTTCCTTTGCCGAAATCAGAAAGCCTCTTGGTCATCCTAATCTGCATTGTCAATATGTATCTATGGAGTTTCCACGAATGAAAAAGACACAAGATAAAGTCTTCGTGATCATTATAGATGAGCTAGATGAGGTTTTTTTTTTTTACTAAGTCCCGAAACTCGCAAGGGTGTTAAGTCGTGGGACCGAGAATTTTCTCCTCGGACCGGATGCACCTGTACTCTTCGAGTGTTTCAAGAATCTTCAATTTCCGCTCTACTTTTACATGTTTTCTATTATGTAATAACTGGCAACACGGAACGTTCAGCCTTTTATTGCAACTACCTGCCACTTGAAGCAGTTCAGG